AAAGATTTTATCTCATTAATTTCCACATGTAGTCCACTTAGTCAAATGCTTTGAGTATACTCTTTAGAAATGTATGTCTTACACACACACACATATATATAAACACGCGCGCGCACACACGCACACACGCACACACACACACACAGAGTATATATACCAACACATACATATAACACTTGTTAAGGAATGGTGAGAGATATAACTAATCACTAATATGGATAACTTAACAATTAAAATATGTTCTTGCATGTACTATGTTTTCCAGAAAATAAGATAGGGTCTTATTTTCTTTTGACTCCCAAAATAAGGGCTTGACCTTATTTTTGGGGAGGTCTTATTATTTTGAGGTGCAGTAGGCGGCAAGCGTGGTCACCTCATGGCTACTGCTGTGTTGCAATATTTTCGGGCAAGGGTTTATTTTAACGCCTGTGCTCAAAAGCCCGATTGGGCTTATTATCCGGGGAGGTCTTATATTCAGGGAAACAGGGTAGTAGCCGCATATAAAACTAATTTTTGTGTTAATATGATAGAACTGCAACCTGTCTTTTATTAAAGCAAAGGGTGTGACCGGTTAATTGTTCTGTCGGGAAAAGTTTTCCTCAGTTCTAGGTTGAATCTCTTCTTGATAAATTTCCACCCTTCACTTTTTGTCCTGCCTTCAGATACTTTGGAGAAGAGGTTGACCTTTTCCCACCAGTATGGTTTGCCAAGTTCGTTGAGGCAGAAGATAACAAAGCTTTCCTTAACAGACCGCGCAAATTCTGGATTCCAGTTACATAACCCAAAACCGAGCAAGGGATAAATTGCAGATTAAGACAGATTGAGGTTGCCTAGGCTCGCTAAGCGTTTGAGGTGGGAAGAAACTAAGTAGTAAACCAAGTCTTTAAACCCGTCGCCATGGTAATCGCCAGTCTCCGTTTTTGGCCCTCGCCGAAATAAGATTCCACTCGGACACCCACCCACCCTCGCCCATGCCGCTCAAGCTGCCCGAACTACGAGACAGCGACACAAACACATACACGAGAGAGAGAAAGAGACTATCTCGGACGCCTGCCTGCCTGCCTGCCCGCTCTTTAACACTAACCGCAGAATTGTGGACTCCGAACGAAAAATTATATTCAGACAAGTGAATTAAGTAGCTAAACAAATCCCATTCTCTTTTCTGGCCAGGGAACGCTACGCCGACTTCAATCGAGCCAGTAACTTTTCAGCCTTCGCTTCCCAACGAAGCAAGTTTCGTCGGGTTTTTCTTTCCAGCTAAGAGCCTGCCGGGGGTGCTGCGCGTCGCCTGTCATAACCCCAGGCCGTTTCACCCTCTAAAGCCGCCGGCTCTCTAAACCTTGCCGCACTTTCCCTCTCATCTCCTGAGCAGCAACCCGACCGCCAGGGCGTCGTCATGGTAACTGCTGCACCCACCGGCGTCCTGCCATGTCTCCCGAGGTTTCCCCCACCACTCACCCAGCAGAGAAAGGACGGCGGCTGTAAAGGATCAAACGGAGCTCTTTTGCCGTACACCACGCTTCCCGTCTCCATAGAAACCGGGGAGGGGGGGCAGGGCAACCTCACGATAGAACGGAGCCCTCGTGCCTCTGAGGGAAAATAGTTGAAGTGACGCGTAGGCGGGAAATGCATTTGCGAATGGTGGAGAAATTTCTCTGAAATGTGTTATTGGGCATACGTACTTTAAATATGCAGTTATGCGGAGTAACGACTAACAAACTAGTTGAGGGGAGAAAGTGGTACAGATTAGGTTGCAACTTGAGAAAATAACATTTTATTTGGCTAGTCTAAAGAAAAGAAGAATTAGGGTGACATGATGATAGTATTCCAGTATTTGAGGGGCTGCTACAAAGAAGAGGGGGTNCCATCTCCATATAATACAGGGTGTCAAACTCAAGGCCCACAGGCCAGATCCAGCCCCAGGGTGCTTAAATCTAGTCTGCAGGACCGGCCTGGAAATAGCAAAGGACTAGCTTGTGGTGCCCCTGGCAGCCAAAACAGGGCACAGAAGGCTAACTAAGGCTGATCCAGCCATCAAAGAAATCCAGTTTGACACCTCTGATATAATAGTTCAAAACTATGACTAAATTGCTAATAAAAACAATATCACATGGATTCACTTAATAGCAATGTAGTAGAATGCCCTTAAACAAAATGTTCCTTATACAAATTAGTAAATATTAGTTTTGACAATTCCAAAATGCAACAATATACTTCGTTGATCAGAAGAAAGCCAAGTTAAGAAACAGCTTACCCAACAATGTGGAAACTGCTTCCACAGCACCATTATAGATCTCAGAGGTCTGAGAAGGCAACACAATTTCCCACATGCCTTGAGCATAATTGATGACCTGGAAATAGCCACATGTTGACAGGGCCCACCATACAGACCAGCAAACCAGAGGCCAGGAAGAGTAACACTGTAAGAAGTCCTGCCAGAGTTCTTTGATTACCTTCATAATGTTCACCTTTTGCTCCTATATGGATTAAATAAATAAAAAATAAACTAAAATATACCAGAATTGTCTTTTATGTCTACCATAGTACAACTGAAATAGTACTGATCCAGATAAACTCTGAGAATATTATTCATATATTTCAGAAGAATTCACAACAAATATCACAGTTTTCATTTCTCCTTAGGTATAGAGAAAATGCTGGAGCTTTGTATTAGCTGAGAACAATGATCATTCCTATGTGGAAAGTATGAATAATTTTCATTCATGAATGAAATGTCCACAGAGCAAATCATTCTCTGACCATACTTCTGCTTGCTGAAATATGCTCTTAACTCTTCTTTTGGGCTTATTTCTATCACTAGATGAAATACTAGAAAGTAACACTAAATACAGCTTTGTATTCTAATAAATGTGGAAAGATTTGGTATTGCCAATTCTGGGGACAGTATTCTGCCAATCAATAATCCTGCACAGATTAAATGTAAAAGGGGCAGACACATTGCTTCCCTCATCCATATGTCTTTCTATTGCCTGGGACCTTTTTACTAAATTAAACTATGAGTAAACTAGTTACATTTATGCAAACATTTGCTATTACACAGGAGGATATTTTAAGCAATTATTCTGAAATTGGTATTCAGTTCATATATTTTTCCTGTCAGCATCAGGCAGGCTCTCAATTATTCCCAAGGTTTTCAGAAGCATACAGTACCACTGACTACCTTCATTTCATAAAAATCGGTGCAAGTTCAAACATTATTTTGCGTAGTTCTGCAAAAGCTCTCTTTCCTTTACCACTTTAAAAACAAAGCAAGCAATGGTCAGATTTTTAATACATCTGTTGAGTAATTCCATAAAAAGGCTGAATAACATGATGGCTAAGCGATGCTTGATAATAATAGAAATGGTTCACAAGAAAACGATCACCAACTGCTTCAGAAATTTTTAGCTTGGACTATTTAGCATGTACAAATAATACTTTGCTTCAGCTCAGTGTGGGCAAACATTTACAATATAGGTGGATAAGATAATTAATGGCACTCTAAATATGATACATTTGAACAACAAAGTTTGGTGTTCATATCACTCATCTCTCCCATATAAATGACCTTGTTGCTAGGTGAATGGTACTTCTCAGTACCTTAATTACTTTCCATGAATTAAAAACAACCACAGGCTCTCTCAAAGGATCACCATGACTACAATCAACATAAAAAAATCAAATGTTCTTTCCACACTCAATACTGTGTAGGCCAAAGAGAGATATGTAGAACATTTTTCACAAAATCCTTCAGTACAAGTGGTCTTCATTTAACAACCATTCAGTCTGCAATCAACTGAGTAAGTTGTAGTTATGACCAGTCCTTGAAGTTCTGGCTATTGCAACAACCCTAAAGTCATATGATCATAATCCAGGACACTCGGCAACCTGCTCATACTTCTGGCCATTGCAACATTCTGCAGGCGTGTGATTACAATTTGTGATATTCCCTGCTAGCTTCCCATAAGCAGTTAGTGCGGAAGCCAGAAAGAATTGGAATGCATATTCACATGAGGTCCTTGCTTAATGACATGTGAGGTCCTCAAACTGTAGTTGCTTAGTGGCATGGTCACATGACATCATCCTTTATGCCTGCATTGTTTAGTGATAAAAATTCTGATCCCAACTGCTAGTCTAACCCAATGACTACATGTAATATAGAAAGAGCTCACAGCACAAAGTTATCATACATTCTGTGTAAAGTCTCTGAACATAGAGATAGTAATGCCATCACTGTTAGTTGCTTGCACATAATTATATTAGAGCAACAAATGAATTTCAATAAATCTACGGAAAAAGCCAAAATTTTGCATCCACAATTGAATCAGGCATATGTTGAGATTAGAATTAATCAATTTTTGTATATGGGTTTAAAAAACATATAGTGCATGGCTGTCCAACCTTTTGACTTGCCTAGGCCAAATGATTATTATTTATCATTAAAATTAGAGCTATGTTCTTTATCTCAAAATAGAATAAAAGTATAAATGAGTAAATGTCACAGTCCTTCATAAAATATTACAAAATCCTTACTTTGTAGATATGTACTGTAGGTTTCTTAGCAACAATGTATCAATGGCTTGCTATAACATTCTTCTGGTTAGTTTCCCACCACCCAACTTTTCTCTTTTCTTCAATCCAAATGATAAGGACCATCTGTCTATGGTTGCTCCATAATTACAGAATAAGGAGTTACCAAAAGTAATTAGCAGCCAGTACACCACAAATGACCAAATATTACATTTAAGTAACATGCTTTCATATTTGGTTTCAGAATATTATCAAAATATTAACAATATTTCTAGCATTTTACATTAAAACAGCAACCCTAAACTATCTGTTAGTGGGACAAACAGGCAGATTTATTGCCCATGAATAAGGTACTATACATCAGATAGAAACACTAAGCAAGAAAAACTTGTCTTTTCTCAATTATACTTAAAATGGGTTGAGATATATAAGCCAAATAAACACAAAGCAAAGAAACCACAAACTAATTAGCATTGGATATAACGTATTTTGTTACTCTACTTACCACTAGAAACTTATGCATTTGGCAATATAGAAGTGTATACATTATTTTCCAGTCATCATTTTATTTATTTTGCTTGTTTGTACTCCAACTTTATTATTTTTACAAATAACTCAAGGAGATTAAGTTATCCAACACACCTTCCTCCTTCTCTTTTCCCCATAACAACAACCCTGTGAAGTAGCTTGGGTGAGAGAGAATGAGTGGCCCAAAGTCACCCAGCTGGCTTTCATGGCTAAGGTGGGACTTAAACTCAGTCTGCCACTTTGTAGCCTAATTTTTATTATCTCATTGTGCATTGTGTGATTAAGAAATCTAAGAAATGTGTCACATTGTAGTGCAAGTAGTTTTCTTCACACACAAAAAAAGGGGGTGGGGGGAAGGAAAGATTTGTTCTAAATCAGACAAGCTGAAAAATGAAAAGCCTTTCTACCTTTGTTCTAACCAGAAAAGCCAAGATGACCCTTTTCCCACCCCAACTAATCCTTAACGTTATGTTCAGATTTTCATTAAATGATGTCTAGATTGCCCTGGGCTAAGACTAGCCATAGCTTTTTTTAAACTCTTCTTGGAAGAATCTATTATATAGCTAGGAGCCTGCCTTGCAAGGTAAATGGATTAGCCCCCCCCCCTCCCCATGGTGTTTCCCGCAAGTAATTAGATTTTTGTGCATATTGGCATATTTGGTTTTGTCTATATTCTGAAATGTCCTTGTTTTGGCAGGCAATAGGATCTCACCAACACAACTTTGATTAAAATCTCATCACCAGAATTTTAAATGATCAAACAGAAGCATCAAAGGGGAACAGGCTATTGATTAGCGCAAGTTAATCCAATTGAAAACAAGTGCTCAATGGCAGACTATATTTTCTACATACCCCTCAATGCAAAAGGACTAGTACTTACTTGCTCCTCTGCAGGTTGTTCTTCTATATTTAATGGAATCTTCAATTCCACATCTTCCAACCCAGGAACCTTCTTTAAGGCAGGATCGTGTTGAATAATTGTTCCATTTTTATAATTTAAAACTTTCATCTCCTTACTGACCTGGAGGCGTGAGCGATGGTGAAAAAAAAAGCTTTTCTGTGGCATGGGCAGAGACCAAGCTATTGCAAAGGCAATAGATACAGAAGTAAGTGACACCACATTCAAACTGAACAGGGACCAGCCTACAACAGACACTAGGACTTGTCCACAGACAGAGCCCACAGTATAGCCCACAAGGGCAGCACTTCGACAGTAGCTTGTGACTTTCTGGTACAAGTTCAAGTCCACAACACTATAAATATAAGAATAGTAAGCAATTTCTGTTGCAGTCACTAATCCATAAAATAATTCCAGGAACTGAATAGCTAGAATTCCTTGAGAGTAGAGAAGCATAAACCATGTTACTATAAGGCTTAGTCCTTGTAGAAGGATGACTGGCTTGTATCTGAGATAATCGGTTGCCAAGAAGACTGGAAACAGCAGCACTAAATAAGAGTATGTCCATACTGGATAAATTTCATTGAAGACCTACAAAAAAAGAGATATTATCTTTATAAAATGCAAATTTCCCTTTATATATCTCTGTGTCTATATCTATATTGGTTTTGAATATTGTACAAATAAATTTAGAACAGAATTACTTAGAAATGAACATATAATTGCTAACATTTATAAACTTTTATTAAAATTTGAAATGAAAAAACAAGTGAAAGAATGCATGACAAAACAGAGTAGAAATGTTGGTTATAATATACAAATTGTACAATGGTAGAATAAGTGGATGAAAGGACTGAAATTCACACATTAGTGTCTTAAAGAACAACTTTTATAAAATGATGTATCATTGGTATTTGTGACCAGAATATTATCTGAAGTGTATGAAGGAATTTCAAATGTATGTTGCAAATGCGAACAAGGAGACCTTTTATCATGTTTGATGAACACATAGAAACACACACACACATATAATTAATTAATTCAGAAAAAAAATAGTATACAATTGAAACCAGAAATGATTTTGACTTTGACTTTGATTTATATTCTTTGC